AAGTCCATTTGAAAGATTCGTTTCTCAAAACTGGTCACAAACTTGTTTTTCCCTTCCTTGTATCTCCACCTCAGGTCTTTTAAACTAGCCTTTTCCTTCAAGGAATTCCTGAGCAAAAAAGGCAGGATCCAGACTCAGAGTAGAGGGCGGAGCTTGGAAGGTTGCCAGATCTTCTTGGCACGCGGCCAGCTCCTCCCCTTTCCAACTTGGATACACGTGGTAAGGCCTTTGGTCCCTCCTGCACCGCCGCCGGCAAGCGACTGTCGTTTTTCCTCAAAACTTCGGACCATTCCGGGCTTATTGTGTTCAAGGTTTAGTAGCAGAGCAGCAGAAAAGAAAAAGGAAAATTTTGAAACGAAGTCATAAGTTGGGTGTAGATGAGCAGGAAAGCTGTCTCAAAAGCCACAATACACGATATCAGCCGGCTGCCATTTGACATGAGTGCTGTTACCACGTACTTTAGAAGCAGTATTCAAACTGTTCAAGCAAGCTTAGAAATGTGGATTATTTGGTGAATGTTTGGGAGAAATGGACTAGCGACAAGCTATTGGCTCATCAGTAGCTCAAATGCACTCGTAAAAGAGAAGATCAATAACTCTAGCTCAAACGTACTTTCTACCATACTTTCGAGAAGCCAGCGGTTGAGTATGCTATGGATTTTCTGAGTCGCATTTTTGGCTCCGAATGAATCATATAAGCTGCCACTTAAAGGCAGTGCTCGGTAAAATTTAACCAGGGTCAAGCGTGCTGATGCGATCCGGGACCCTCATTACGACCTCCCCCCCCCCCTGAAGGTACCCAGTAATGACCCCCCCCCCCACCTACCCCCGCCACCCACTCCTCCTCAACCTCATTTTGCGGTAACCTGCATAAACGAATGTCATTCTCGATGCCTGCCAATGAACCTCAATCAAAATTATAGGCCACAGAAAGGTAACTATTTACAAATTGGGAGATGATGCAAGTGATGCGTCACCACTCAAAAACCTCAGAAATAATTCTGCGTAGACTGGTAAGTAGTAAATTTTGCAAAGCTTTGGCTATTATTGTGATCGGGAAAATGTGGATGGAAAGGATTTCATCTGATAGAGCAGAACATCAATTATGATCTGAATGATATACAGGGTGTCCGTAAAGTATGTATACACTGTTTCATCGTTAATATCTCTTTTCCCAAAAAGTCTTTTGCCTTGCTTTAAGTACCATCTTGTAGAGTTGGCTTCAACTTAGATTTGCAGTATGGAGCGAATCACTCATCTCTCTTCAATACTGTAGGATTACGGTGGAAACTTCAAAAAGGGTTTTGAGCCATGAAAGGCCATATTTTGCCTCAGAAAGGAAACAAAACAGCCTAAAAACTTTTACACTAGGCTAATTAGAGTCGCTGATTCTAATCGTAAAGTTCCCAACTTATTATGATGTTTCATTGAAGAGTTATGCCAGGTAAGAGATAGCGGCCATTTTTCCATCGTTCCTAAAAAGTGCGGTTACACCGTTCAGAGAGCTTCGCAATCTTGTGAATAGTTGAGCATTGAACTCAGCATCCACAAAAACCCCATTACACGAGTTTTCACATTTTTTTAAAAATTTTGAGACGGCAGCTTTTTCCACATTGGCACCATATGTTTCAAGTTTCTACCGTAATACTACAGTAATGAAGAGAGATCGGTGATTCGCTCTTTACTGTAAATCTAAGTTGAAGCCAGCTCTACAAAACGGTACCTGAAGCAAGGCAAAAGGCTTGTTGGGAAGAAAGATATTGACGATCAAAGAGTGTATACATACTTTACGGACACCCTGTATAAAATAGCAACCAAGAAAAATTCAGCATTAGGCCCCGGGCAGACTTCAAGCGATTTGATCGTCGCGACTGAATCGCGAGGAGACAACTGTTACAACATCATTCCATGCAGATCAACTTGCATTCGGTTGTGATACTTTTCCAGACCGAAATTTTTGAATGTGAAATGAAAATGAATGGAAATCTTGGCGATTTGGTCGCGACGATTAAGTCGCGTGAAGTCTGACCGGGGCCTTACGGAACGTTTTACTTTAGTCATTTTGATTAATTATTTTATAAGAACTTTCTAGTGACAGACAATAAATTCTTCTGTCATCTATAAATATTTGCATAACTCATTTATGATTTAGTGGTACCGATAGATATCGACTATGGTTCTGCAAACTAAAACGTTTTAGACTGTCTCGTGTTCTATCCGTACGCGACACCAATTTTTTGCAGGGAGAAGAGACAATATCATTGAAGATTTAAGAATAATTCTGACTGAAAAGCTTACTTTCTATCTTTTGCACAGATTTTTTCGCGAAGGAAACCGTTTTGGCGCCATCCAGAACGATTTCAAAAACGTGCATGAGCACGGTCCTTTGAAAATTCGTAACTAAGCTCAAGGAAAGACCAAGAGGCTGCAATGAACAGGCTTTGTAGTATAGTGCCCAGATATCCATGGAAAAAAGTTTCAGCTTTTGAAGAGTAATGATCTCGAAAAGAAATCTAGATGCGACTCTCGCAAATTTAGATGCGATCCTAAAAAGCAAAAACTTGGATTTTTAAGCTTGATTTTGTAACTCACCAGAGAGGTTATGAAACAGTCTGAAATTTTACGATAGAAATTAGGAGGATGGACTCTTATTACAACACAATTCCAGCCAACAAGCTTAGATAGCTCCCGAGAAATTTAGATGCGACCCAGATACGACCCCCTTACTTCGGTTTTTGTCGCCATACATAGAATGATAAAAAAAAATCGACAGATCACGCAATAAGACCAGATTTTGCACAAATGTAGTAGAGCGTCTCGGAGTGCAGAAAAGTTGTATGAACCCGTAAAAAACACAGTAAAAAGGTTTAGAAATTATTGATGTCATCGTCGTTAAAGAGACTCCATTTTTTGTGTGTGTGAGACTTCAGGGAGTCTTCGAAAGCAAGACTTCTAGGCCAGTCGCCTCATTTAGAATTTTTATCAAATCATACATCCTTCAAAAGTGTTCTGAGCTCTTGGGAATGTTATTTTTTGCGTTTCTTCGAAAATATTTCTTTATTATTCTGACGTCTACTTTTTTCTTGTAAATTTATTGTAAAGAACATGTAAATTATGTGCTTTTTAATCTACTTCTAAGCTTACGGTTTTTAGACAAACTACCTCCTCTTACGACCACCCTCCCCACCTTAGTGCCTACTTTACGATACCCCGTGGCGACAGTCGCTCACACGCTTGACCCTGACTGCAACTGCGCGCTTTCTGCTCCTCCTTGCCCTTCTGGATGCGGTTAGCCAGAGCTATAATTGAAAAGCAAAAAAATGCTTTTGATGGCTTTCTCTGGCCTTGGAGATTGCTGAGAAGGCTGGAGCGGAGAATCCCTCAGCCGAGTCGCGATTGGCTGCCTGGCCCAATCAGCCAATTGCCGCCAAAATGAGTGGTGTTACAGACTCCCGCAGCCAGTCACCGTTTTTGCAGAAATCTCCGCTCCAGCCTCCTCAGCAATCTCCAAGGCCGAAAAACGCCATGGAAAGCTTTTTTTTGAATTTTGAAGCACAGCTCCGGTCTGAACGCATCCAGGCCAAGGAGGAACAGAGAGCGCGCAGTTGCAATCTTTCCCAGCCGCCTTTAATGGTGTACGTTTCATCAAAATGCCACGATCATCAAGTATCCCTCCCTTGTATGTCTTTTGTGACATCCTGTTTGCATCCTGACATCCTGAGCCCTTACATCTCTGCGACATCCCGAGCTTAACTTAAAACTTTCTTTCACTTGGACGCTCTTTTGTAATGCTTAAATAAACATTCTTACTATAATATATGGGTGAATGTTGTCATCAAATAGCACAAATTTTGGTGGCAAAAAATGTTCACAACTTCTTTTGGAGGAGCACACAGCGCATGCTGAAAGCAGATTTGGAATCAGCGCTTCAAGATACATTGATGCTGTATGTTTGGTTTCAAAAAGACAGTTAACAAGTATCCTTTCCTTGTAAGTCCCTTATCCCAATTAGTATCCACATAAAAGTCCATGTACCTGAGTGTCTGCCGTACCCCCTTCATGAATTAAACTTTTGTTCAGTCCTTGTGTCCAGAATTAAAATATTTGAGAAGCGTTTTACTTCAACGTATAAAGAGTGGTAGAAATAAAGGTGAAGAGAAAATTGCAGATAATTGTAGATTTGAAAAAGAGAAAATCGCCTATGCCAAGGTAACAATAACTTTTGCAGATTTAACTGAATAAAAATAGCTTAGCCTAGCCGAAGTGGAGGACAAGATGCACTCATTAGCTAGCGATGATGAGCAAAGAAAAAGAGTTATTAGCAAATCATAATCTTATTACCCGGAACTAATTACTCATAATCTTTCCGGCGCGCCTAGGCGCCTAGGTTTCAAACTTGAATGGCTAAAGGAGAATGTTGAACATTTTAAAGCTTTTGGGTCAAGCCATTAGAATCAAAATAGGTCACTGAAAGCAAAAGGAATCTTCTAGAATTTTTCTACATCGCATAGTGAGTCTTTGAACTGGATGTAGTGGTTTTGTCAACTTAAAACTGGAACAGAATAGAGCCGGTCGTATCTCAAAAGGAAAATTTTGAGCCTTTGTACCAAAAATTTTCCCGAAAATTTTTTTCTAGAAATCAAGAAGACTTTATCGTGTTAACATTTGCTGTCTGTCTAGTTCTGAAGACACGTCAAGCCCTCTTCTCTGCCCCCTCTTCAGTTAGCGGCAGATGTGATCTCGTCCGAAGTTCCTATGGTAACGCCCCATGAGGGCTATGGCAGCTTACCCTGTAATTACAGCTCAGGTATGGTTTACTTTGCAAATGGTTTTTCCTTTCTATGGATCAGTGAAGGGACTTCCCATAGTTCAGAACGTCAAGAATTTTAGACCGCTCCCTCTAAGATTCGGACAACTCCCACAATTCCTCCAAGTACGACGCGCAGACACAGACGCCGAGAGAACTGGGTGGTCCGAGCCGTGGCGACGACCGGACAGGAACGCAGAGTGATCGCGGCGGCCGGCTCGCTCAGCTGCAAATCCAATCGCGCGCCGTTCGGCTGCCGCCCTGTTGCCGATGCGCGCTTGACCCCCCTCATCGATAAATTATTACTGCTCATTACTCGTCGTGTCTCATGTCATGAAGAAGCGCTGACAAGCGATGTCATCGTGGCTGCCGACGCTTCTCGAACGAAACAGTTCGGAGCCGCGAGCTCGGCTCGAGCTCGGCCAGGAGCTGCTCGAGCGACTCGGACAGTCGCGACTGCCCTCGGACTCCAAGACGATCAACGAGTATTGCGATGTTCTGTTTCAATGGCTGGCTGCGAGTAATTTCAAGGTGAGTCCGGTTCGTTGACCTGAGTATTGGCTCTCTGAATCCATTGTATTCGGATTGAGGAGTTCAGACGCTGGGCGCCTTTACGATCATCGCATTTTATGAGTTTATGAGTTTCGGGGACGATCGCGTCACCGAGGCGCGCTTTTGAGGGGGAGGGGGGGGGGATGAGAGATTAAATAAGTTCTGACTAGGTAAAACGGTCTGTCGAAGGAGGAGGAGGGAAGGGGGAGGGGTGAGAGTATAGCTATGCCTTTCGTTCAAAGTTTATTGCAGTAGTAGTATTTCCAAATTTACACAGATTTTTTCTGTCCCAGTTCAGCCCAATTTTATCCAGCTTATACTTTTCATATTTGAAAAATGCAATAGGAGACGAAAAGGTGAAATATAAATTTTCTTTTCGCTCTTCACAGCATTATCTTTCATTCGAATTTCGGACAACTGGATCTATATAACAAAGTTGAATAATCTTCTTTTTCCTTCAGCCATTTCTTTCGTATTTTAAACGTTTTGAACATTTGGTCCTATATAACATGCATTTTATAGCTTATATGGTGAATCTAGCTTGTTGTAATGATAAAGGCAAAGGTAAAGGTGGGAGAGGAAGGAGGTGTAAGGAGGAGGAAGGACGGAGAGCAGAGCTGATTAGCTGCAAAATCAATTATGTTAAGTGGTCTGGTCACGTCTCGTTCCAGCTCTTACCTTTACCTCTCTTTTTTCTCACTTTTTACATTCATTACACTGCAAAACCCATGAATTTGCTCTTTCTCACCTTCTATAGATTATTTTCAGAAATGAAGCCATATTTTCTCACTTTCATCATGTCTTTTTCACAGCTTTTTCAAAGAAGAAATGGTGAAATCCTTTAACATCTAACTTACCTTTACCTCTCTTTTTTCTCACTTTTTACATCCCTTTGCACTCCCGAACTCATGGATTTGCTCTTTCTCACCTTCTTCCGTACTTTTTCTTTAGCTTTCAAGTTGTTTTCCCAGTGTTATCGTCTTTCAAACATTTCTCTTCCAAAACTTTTTCTATAACATTTCACGACATCCTGTAACATCTACTCTTTGCGTTCTAACCACTTATATGCGTGTTTTCTTTTTTTCCTATCAGAAATCTTCGATAATCCTTCTTATCGTTCATGTTTGCGCCTCATTAGGCTCTGACTAGTTCTGCTTTTGAAAAAAGTGCAATCGGACACTTCTCATCATCACAAGTCTTAAGGGGATCCCCTCTTTCTTTTTCGTGAAAATCTTCAAGCTGATTTTGAGCACATACTTATAACTTATAATCCTCATAATTTATTGAATTCCGAAGCGTGAAAGCTTTTCGTTCAAAAGTATTATTTATCTAGATTTTTTCCTCACAAGACTGTGTTCTATTCGTGTTTATTCTAGCTGGGATTTTTTGATCTACACCTTAAGCGAAAGTTGAACTTCTTGTTTTTCCCCCTCTCTCCTTGACGAAATGCTAAAAATTCTATGCATAGCAAATGCCAACTCCTATGACAACGAAGCCCTCATCGATTTGGGCTCTTCACCCGCTTGTTCATCCCATTTTTTTACTATTACTTGAAAGAGCTGTTCAAACACTTGTCTACAACAACGCGGGGGTTGTTCGTCATGAAAAATATTTTTTTGAGCAGAAGCTTAGAGCGGAGCATTGTACAGCTGGGATATTTTTGTCCGGGGACTGTTGGACTCATTTTTTTTGAAGGAATGATTTCTAAGTTAAGTTTTCATAGCCTCTGGAGTCCCGGAGAATGCCAAGAACCAAAAACTTTGCCTAAGGAAAGAGATGAAACGATGAATATATTGAAAATGATTTTTTTGCTTTTTACGTAATAGTTTCTGTGATTTTTACGGAAAAATTTCTTCCATCCAAAAATTATTGATTGAATAGCGACATATCCATGAGGATTACGTGAGGCTCGGATTACTGCAATCGTTGGTACATCAATCACTAAGCTCAAAAATCAGCAAAGAACACGCATCTCTTCTTTTTTGCTGTTTTCATGTGAAAAATTACTTTTTCAAACCCCCAAACTCTTTACGCACACATTTGTCTACATATTTTCCTTTTGTAGATTTTCTGAAAGTTCCAAAACCTTGTTGAAATCGTGAACTTTTCAACATAGATTTTTTGTTTTGTAGACTTTTTGAAGAAAATTGGACATATTCTCGAGCTTTTCAAAAAATCAAATCGTCCAGCTTCAATTCTAAAATTTTCTCAACGCAATTAGTCCGAGGAATATCTCGAATTTCAAAGTCTGCTTGCGCAAACGAAACGATGACGGTAGTAGTATAAGGAAATGAGTCTCTAGCCCCATTATAGGAAAAAAGACTTTCCAAAGCAGTCCTAGGAAAACCGATACCATTTTGACATTGTACAAAATCAAAAAATAAGCTAGATTCGTCATTTTGTAGCAAAAATCTCTTGAAACCAGTAGTCACCTGAAAAAGCCATAGGCAAGAGAACCTTGGGGTTTGGTTACTTGATTTTGGGCTAGAAATTTTTTGTCAAGCAATCTTATGGAAACTGATACTATTCTAATGTTGTTCAATAGCAAAGAGGACTGTACGAATTAAATTTTTTGTTTGACACAGAATTCTCCATCCTTTTTGTAGTCTCCCATAAAAACGAAGCACACAAAAGCCTTATGGTTCGGTCGAAATCTAGACTAGGCTCCGAATGTCACACTTTCTCCTTTGCAAAGAGACCCCTAAGAAAAAATCAATCTGCTTAGAGCGCTCAGTGCATCGAGATTCGCAAATATGTACTTCAAAATCAACTTCGCGCAAAAAATTTGCGTCAACTGTACCTTGGCTCAAATTTCGTCTGCTGCAACGTACTGATAATCATGGGGTCAAAATATATGATAAATATTCACAATTTCATCGCTTTATTTCTCATTTTCTCCTAACTCCATAAACTTTTCAAACTGCTCATCAAAGATAAAAAAGCAAAATAATTATTCTAAGCGAATTGAATTCCCACACCGTAAATTAATACGTGTTTGTTTTTGGAATTTGAGTTTCTTCAGAAATTGTTGATGTCAAATCAGCTAGGCCTAAGTGCTCAATGTTGAGCCTAAATACTTCCAGCTATATCTTTTGATCTTCTTGTAAAGGGGTATAACCATTTATACAATTTTTATGATGATGGACTAAAAATTTGTTATTTACGCAGCCAACCTAAATGAGTCGATTCTCAGTCACTTGTTTTGAACAAAAAAAGCTGAATGCGGAAACGAGTCAACAAAAAACAGCACTGGCACATGTTATTGAGTCAGCCATTAATCGAATAGAAGAACTGCCATTGCTGCTCGATAACACATGTTTTTTGTTGTTTACAAAGGGGGAGGGGGGGGGGGGCTACATTGAGGAGTAACCATCAAAAACAATTAAGTTCAACTTACGGACATTTCAATTGCAGACGATAGCTTAGTTTTTTAGATCTTTATCTTGGAAGATAGTATCTCCTGGAATACGACTAGCCCGTAATTCCAATGGAATAACATTCTAAAAAGGGAAATAAACCATTCATTTCGCAGCTCGTCCTAGCTACTAAAGCTTGCGTTTTGATGATCGTTATTTTGAAGACCAGTTTTTCCCAGCCATTCTCAAAACAGCAATAATTGCAGTGTTTTCGACGAAGTCACGATGTTGACCTTTCATATAATCCTAGAACAAATGTGGCGATAGTGCTGAAGTCCAGGATCAATGGATTTCTTCAACATGAAGCTCTGTTTACAGTCATCGAGGGGGATCCCGACGCTTAGGCTAGCGAATATCTTGCTCATCTACATCGATTAAACAGATTGTTTTTGAAAAAATAATTTTTTAGTACTCGGAAATGTGAAACAATCTTCTCAAAAAAGCTTTTCAAAGAATAGCCTTGGTAATCTAAGATGCTGAGTTTACTGAGGAGGCTGACTTCAGTGCTAAGATTAGATAGAGTTTTCTGCCCAAAGCGGAATCCCCGTCAAAAATATTGCGAGTATGTAGAGTAGCAATCGTTTTTTTTTTCAATCGTTTTATATTTTCACTCACTACATTTTGAAGCATGTGAACAAAAATAAGAGAGCTTGAATTTCGAATTTTTCTGAGCTTCCTATGTATCAATCTTTTTACTCATTCATAATCTCCTTCACTATATCCTCATCCCTCTTGTTTATGCAGTTGCTAAAGTAACACCTTCACCCTGTGGAGTTAGAGATGTAAATCAAAGTTCGAAAATAAATTATTTGGGGCTTCCAATCTGAATACAGTCTGGACGTGAATCAATGAAAATTTTTTCGTAATCTGGCAATTTGTCATCTTTAGGAGTATGACAACTTTCCTTGCATGGATATATAACTTTTGGGTCAACTAGCTTGGCGGCTGGAAGATGGGGCTTTGTGACCTAATTGAGGCCGCTCGCGTCAGCGATGCTCTCTGCACATCTCCCGCGCGCGTGCTCCCTGATCATTACCTAGCCTTAATTAGGTCACGAAGCCCTGCTTTCCAACCGCCAAGCCAGTTGATTCAAAGGATAGTGGTAGTTTCATTGCTTTCCAAAGAAGAGTGTCTAAAATAGCATCGATTCCTAATCCGGTCTAAAGGAAATCTATATTGCTTTCGTTTTTCTGAATTCCGTTTTATCTCTGAACAAATAGATCCCATTATACAACAAACAATCAAAAATAGTGAAGGGCTCTGCATCATCCTGAGAGTCGGTGAGTTTGAGTTCCTTCTATAAGCTGAAGCAATTCGAAAAACGCGGGGGTTGTTAACTAGTTTGAAGCCTTGTGGCGTCTCGCGTGAGCAATGACCGCAAGCACACCGACCCTTGCGATCATGCAGAGACCGGTAGTCACTATGTGATCATGTAATCCTTACCAGATAAACCGATGCGGTACTTTTGCAAACATTCGCGAATAAAATCAAAATCCTTAGCTCTGTTTAGTTTTCATGCACATCTGTTGTAAGGAGTACCATATGTCACTTGAAAAATGTTTG